GGTGAGGTGCAGGGGGGCGGGGCACATGACAAAGCCCCACCCCTCCGGCCCTCATTCAGCCAGGAGGAGGCAGGAGAAGAGGGAGGATAAGTTGCTTCCTCCCCGCCTCTCCCCACCCCTGCCTGGGGCCAGGGAGGGCCTTGGCAGGGCTTCCTCGCACTCCCGCTGGCCTTGCAGGTCCACTGTCGAGCCCCTGATGTCAGGGGGTGTGGCATATGCTAATGAGTTATGCTAATGAGTTCCCCTAGCTCTTTTTCTACGAAATGACCCCTGGTCCAGGGCCTCTTGTTGGATTTGAACTCTGTATGGTCTGACCTGGATGGTCCAGGCTAGCCTGAACTTGTCAGATCTCAGAAGCTATCCAGGGTCAGCCCTGGTTAGTATTTGGATGAGAGACCAGCAAGGAAGTCCAGGGTTGATACACAGAGGCAGAAAATGGCAACACCTCTGCTTTTCTCTTGCCTTGAAAGCCTTGCCAGCTGTCAACTGTGATTGGACAGCACTTTCCACCACCATTAATGTGATACGTATAGCAGATCAAAGTTGACACTAAACAGCTACTCTCTGTGGTTTCACAGCATATAGGAGCTTAGTTTTGTGGCATGACATGTGGTCTGCAAAGAGAAAGCTCCCAGTTCAGTCCTTGGCATCTCCAGTTAAAGGATCTCAAGTAGCAGGTACTTTGGGGAATACCTGTCTTCAATATTGGTATTGAACCAGTATTGTCCTGTTTCTAAGTGCTGCCTACACTTGTCAAAGCATAAAAAGCTGCTGGAGTCATGTTATTCTTGACCTAGAAAGTCAGCATGGTATAGTGGTTGGAATGTCAGACTAGGATCTGGGAGACCCAGGTTCAAATAATTCGCTCTGCCATGGAAACTCGCTGGATGACTTGGGCCAGTTACTGTCTCTCATCCTAACCTCTACCTCATGACTGTTATTTTGGGGATAAAAAAGAGGAGGGGAAACACTGTTGTAAGCCTCTTTGACTCCACACTGAGAAGAGTAAAATATACATATCTAAACAAGTCCTAAAGTTCCTAAAGGATATGGAGCAATTGAACTGGTTTGTATACTATAGGTTCCTATTAGATATCAATTTATTTATTTTAAAAAACCAAACATTTTGTCTCTTCAGTAGCACAGAAAAGCCTGATAACATAAAGATTTATTTCAAAGACGAGTGCGGAAATCAACCAAGACCCCTCCCCTGCCCATTTTGCTTTCAGACCTCAAGATTCTTCCAATCTAATGACACTACCAGTGAGAGATCTTGGGCCAGCCAGGTGTCTGGAATACTCAAACATAGTGTTGAGATTTGTCCATTACATTTATGGAGATAGTGTTAATTATATGTAAACTAGAGTATACACAATATCTGCAAGACATCTGCCTCATAGTATGTTTCCAATTGCAAACAAGTTGCCCACCATGCACAAAGCCCAAAATCATCCTCTTTGAGTACATTTAATGTTGCTTAGATGGCAGTTCCATTGATGCTAGTATTGAACAGAAAGCTCATGGTGAACTACTTTTTCAGAAATATGGTGAAAGGTGAGACAACAAAGCCAATCCAAACCTCAAAGGTGAACTCTTAGTTTAAATAACTGGGACTTGCGCATGCTAAAATAATATGAGGACTGGATTTCTCGTGTGCTAACTCTGGATGCATTATGTTGGCTGTTGTGAATATTAGTAATCTGACAGCAATAAAAATATTTAACATGGTTACCTAATAAGGTATGTGTGGATAGTGAGGCAATACGTGAAATGTGTGTGTGATTTAAATCATCCTAGAATAAGATATTCAGAGTTAAGGTTTCCATAGTAACCTTCCCTTTAGCCCCTTTATGTGTGAAACTGGCCTTCCATCTAGTTGCAGCTATTTAAAGACAAAAATGGGTCAAAGGCCTTTAATTACATTTCCGTGCTGTGTTATTTTAGGAAGTGTGCATATTGATAGTGCTTTCCTGTAATGGGTGTGTTCTTTGGAAGTTTGGTAATTCATTTTGTTCCATTCTCTCTCATCTCTTTCATTCAGTGTTCTTCAAACCACAAAAGTTAAGACAGAGTGTTTGGTTTAAGACTGTTATGCTGCCGTCTCAAGCATTCCTATTTGGAAGAAAATCTAATTAAACGCTGTGGGGCAATTTTCAGAGTAGATATGCATAAAATTGACTTGTTAGTTTGATTATAGTTAAGGAGACTGACATATCCATGGTACAAACTTACATTGCTTTGAAGCCATTGATAGGGCAGGTTCATAAAGCAACGGCCCACCAACCAGTAGTTTTTGGAAACACGTTGGACCATTGATGAGGTCACATCCTGGTCAGGATCACATATTAACTAGCAATTGCAAAGGTCATTGAGGAAACTTCCAACTGTAGAACACGTTGGAAGGATTCACAAAATGTTAGAAGGTTCCAAGCAGTGTTCCCTCTAAGCTGAGTTAGTGTGAGCTAGCTTACAGTTTTTTAGCCTCTGGCTCACACATTTTCCCCTTAGCTCAGGAAGGGTGGCTCCAGAGCAAACTAATTTATGCAGCAGCCAAATGGCTCGCTCACAACTTTAATGCCCGGAGATCACAAGGTAGAATTTTTGCTCACAAGACTCCACAGCTTAGAGGGAGCATTGGTTCCAAGTAAGCATCCTCCTATGATAGAGGAAGTGGAGGGTATCCCTCTAGACAGGGATGCCTCCTGATCTCTTCTGAGCTGCTTCTTCTTCTACTAGTGAAGTGGAGGAATACCAGAAGTGGCTGTTTGCTTTGGAAAAGAAGCAAGTGGGTGCCAGGAAACAGGTGGATTGGCACACATGGGCACAATGCTGAGGATCACTGTTCTAGGCTATTTTCTAGGTGACAAACACAATTATAAATCCATGTGGATGCACACATAGACAACTGGCATGGATGCCCAGAAAAATAGATCAGTGCAAGATACACAGTTTTCTTCTCTGCTATAACACCAATGCAACTGCTAAGTGCAACTCCTATAGCAGAGCATTTGTTTGCACCCATAAGAACATAAGAAGAGCCCTGCTGGATCAGACCAGTGGTCCATCTAGTCCAGAATCTGGTCTTACACAGTGGCCAACAAGTTCCTCTGAAGGCAACAGAGCATAGAGGATGAGGCCTTCCTCTGATGTTGCCTCCTGCCACGAGGATTCTGAGGTTGACTACCTCTGAACATGCAGGTTACCTTTAGTCACCAGGGCTAGTAGCCACTGGTAGACCTATCTTCCATTAATCTATCTAATCGCCCTTTAAAGCTGTCTATGCCTGTGGCCGTCTCTACAACCTGAGGCAGCAAATTCCACATTTTAATCACTTGCTGTGTAAAGAAGTATTTCCTTTTTATGTCCTGAATTTACTGCCCATCAGTTTCATTGAATGCCCTCAAGTTCCAGTATTCTGGGAGATAGGAAAAGCTATCAACTGCATGTAGCTAGCAGCCAGTTATCCTCAGCTTTCTCTGTTCTGTACTGCCACTCAAAGGTTTAATAATCATCCCCTAGTCCCTTTGACAAAATTATATTCTTCTGAAAGCTCGACCTCTTAACATACATACACGCAAATACTTGAGCTATCTGAGAGGGTGAAGAAGTAGTTCCCAGCTATCAAAATCATCTATAGGTATTTTGGCTACTGCTAAAAGAAAATATTTTGCTGGTTTTTTTCAGATTCCATGAACGTCAAAATATATACAAATGTACAAACCAGAAATGTAAACAAAAGACTATGCAGTTATTGAATCTAAAATAAAAGGAATTAGGCATATATAAATATTTTCAGTATTATATTTTCAACTATTGGTTTAAAAGGGAGGCAAAGACGATTATAAGACCTGATACATGCCCTTTCTTTCTGATAAGATTTGAACTGATGCTGAGCAACTGTAAAGACAAAGTACCTTACATTTCATGATTTAATGCATATACATGCTCAAACTGAAATCCTCAATCCATTTGTCCCACTGTATTCAACTGAAGGTACAGTTGCTGCTCCAGAGTACCTGGACTGACACTGACTGTTCATCACAGTCACATGGGCAAAATCCAAAGAGTTATATATAAATAAGGCCAATCACACACAACTGAGAGATCTCATCCATTTCAGTGGGAATTAAACAAGCTTAACTTCCTCAAGGCTGTACTATATAAGTGTCAAGAAAATCAACTGAAATAAATAGGACTGAGTTCCGAAGAAGGTATTTAGGTCTAGAGTGCCTTGCTATGATCATAAGCACCCTGCAAGACTCAAGAATCCCAATAGCAATTTGTATGGTGTGAACTGAATAAACCATTCATTAAAAGGAATGTAAAAATGCCATCCTCTATGTTAAGATATTTGATTTGCAGTTATAAAAGATGCCAATCAAATGATGCAAGAGTTTGTCAGAATTAAAAGTGAACATGTTTGGATGTCAACAGAGTCTGTCCACATTTTTAATCTAATCCTATCTAGAAGATACAGTTGCTCCTGATGACAAGAAAATGATGTCATGCTTGGAGAACTCCCATTTCAGTTTCTCTCTCTTTAAAAAAAGAGATCACCCTGTGAAGACATGCCCTTGACATTATCTGAAACCAGCCTTTCTATCTTTAGACCACCATCTGGTGTAGTGTGTGTGGAGTGGGGTGTGGGGAAGAATTCTCATGACCCACCTGGTAGATCTCATGCTTGCAAAGTGCATAACCCTCAGGGTCCTGCAGTTTGGAGTAGCAGAAGGTAGTGGTGGTCGATTATATGAGATGGACAGGGGGTCGAGTAAAGTTCAGGATTTTGCCGGCAAAGACATAGGGGGAGGGGATTGAGCAGATTACATCCTAGATCATGCACCTGAGTAATGCACAAAAGCATGCACACTAGAAGAGAAAGCATGGGAGGGGGAAGGGGGTTGCATGAAAGAACTGAAATTAGCACAGACCGAGCATCATCACCATCAAGAGTTAAAGAGAGAGTGAAATGGCTAACGTACACACACCCCGCTCCATACCGGAGAAGAGTCTCCCAGCTGAGGCGGATGCTCCCCAAGGACCAGGCTGAAACTGACCGCCCCCACGGCCACGCTGGAGACCCCCAGCCCTATCTCCAGCACGGAGAGCACCAGGAGGCTCCCGATGATGTGGCTGCTGGTGCACATCCTGGCTCGGTCATCGTTCCTACCCGATCAGCTCCGAAAGCCAAGCATTCGCCTCCGCCGCCGCCGCAAACTTTTGTCTCTTCTTCAGCAGCCACGGAAGGAAGGCAGGAGGCTCAAGTCAGTGAGTGCCGTCTCACTCCGATGCGGGCAGGAGACCATACAACGAGTCGCCTCCCGGGCTTAGGATCCCCAGTGCGAGTCCAACGAATGCATCCGACAGTGGATTTCTCTCCCACCCGGTACTGGACGCCTAGGGCGGCGGGAGCTCGGCAGGCAGCTCAGCGCGTTGCCACCACGCAGGTTCTGGCTAATGAAGGCTCCGCGGAGAGCTGTCCGAGGTCCTGACTGCCTCCTCCGAGCCTCCTCAGCGCGCTCTCCCAGCGTCCCCAGACACTTGCGGATCACACGACACTCCTAAGCGGCGGCATCGACCCAGTTCTCCTGAGGGCCCCGGTCAAGCATTCGATGTGTGAGCGAACGTCTCTCTCTTTCTGCCGATGCTGTCTCTCTGTCTTCCCGGCTGGCAAAAACAGATTAAATTCAGCACCACGCTCCTTTCCTACAGAGCTAGTGTCTTCTGCTGGAAGAGAGAGAGAGAGAGAGAGAGTCTCGACCTTGTCTGATCGCTTCCCTCGCTCTCATTGGAATGACCTCGCCGGGAGTCGGCTGGAGGGAGGGGACACAAAAAGGGGAAAGCCCAGCCCCAAAAAGAGTTGGACTCAGCAGTAAGACAAGAGAGTTCATACCAGCTGAGACACAGAGACGCAGGCTTAAACCAACCTCAGCCCCAGAGCACATGCATATTTATGTCTGTCTCCAGCATGCAAACAGTGGGTTATCCTGATGCATTCTTAGGAAAAGATGCCACAAAGGAAGTGTGAGAATACCTTTCTTAGTCCCAAGTAGTGCTTGACAAAGTACAGGAAGTGAGCTTTGGGGTTACATAAATCTTCTTTGGTGGCATCCAGATTCACAGCAAAAGAAAACAATCAACCCCCATGCCACATCGATATATTGATAAAACAGGATATGATCTCATCCTGATACTAACTAATCTGACTTTAGAGCTCTTTAAAGGAAAAGAGCAGAAAGGTTTGGGCAGGGACATTATTTAAAAGAGTGGGGGGAAGTCTGGCTCTTCTTGGGACACTTCCAGATGGAGTGAAGTACAAGTGTCCGGTGCACTGAATCACACTGTAACCAGTATTTGCAAGCTGTATGGGGACAGTGCCAGACCCTGCATTTATCATTGCTCCTTTGACACAGAAACCATTTCTGAAGTAGTTTCTATAGTGGGGAGCTCACTCCCTCACCTGTTACAAATGTCATGGTTTTGTGATAATTTCCATGTATGACCTTTTGTCCCAGTGGTAGTGGTCTAAGATCAACAGTGATATTATTTTAACAATGTGATTTCTTTTCAAGTTCTTTGTAGAGTTGAGTACATTCTACTCAGGCCACATAAGTTGTATGCCTTATTGAATGTGTTCTTTGCCTGGGATATAATGAGTCCTGGTCCCCTTTGCTGCCTGTGGACGTTCCAGTATAACAGCATGGCCAATTTGCATTGCCCTCAAAATCAAGAATTCCAAAGAAGGTTCATTGGCCTGTGTCCAGCTATACTTTCCTGAAAATATAAGGGCACAATTTTTTGGAAGAGACAGTGGTGCCTTCCACCCGTGCCTCCCCTACTGCACCCCTTTGCTTTGCACATCAGCAAGTAGTTTGAGGCACCTTCTGCAAATAAAACTACCCACCTTCCAGCTTCCTGAAGCATCCTTTATTGTTCCTCTGCAGCTCTATGTATATGAGCAGCACAAACACATAAAAAGCAGAGTACAAATGAATTAGGGATATGCAAGAGCTGACAGGAGACAAAGCAAAACAAAATGAATAGCAATGTCTTCAGGGGCAAACATACAAGGGAGAGGTGTTCCAGCAGCCTACTTTCTCTGTGGCATGCCAGTTTTCTGTATATATGGCATTTCAAAGGCTTTTTTTAAAAATGGAGGGGCAGCCCACTCAGATTTCCCTCTGCAGTAAAATTAGGCTTCAGTGCTAAACATGAGCAGTCTGAAAGCATTGCCTTCCCCATGCCTTGCTTCTTATGCTTCTTATGTAGGTTCCAGAAGGGAGGTCAAGTGAAGAATCACAACAAAGAGTTCCTGGTTATGGCTTCTGGAATAATCCCAATCCCAACACAAATGCAACAGAGGCATTTTTATATTTATTGTGTAAGGTATTTCTGTCCTGCCCTCTCATTTGAAAAAAGTCACGAAGTGGTTTGCTGCAATAATGGAATGGAATGCCTACAATCTAACCAGAAGGCAACCACAATAGATGCCTGTTGTTCTGGCTGCTGCTTAGCCAAAGGGGCCTTGTTCTTTTTCCTTCCCCTTTTGCAGGATGACTGGCTCCCGATGAAGTCCAAAAGAGGAAGGATCAGGGGACATTTGGGCCTTTTTCTCACTCCCTCACTTTATGCAGAATGGTTGGCCATCAGTGGAGCCTCCAGGAGGAGGAGGAGGAGTCTACCCACTACCCAAAGGAGTCTCAGAGCAGTTTACAATCCCATTCCCTTCCCCTCCCCACAACAGACACCCTGTGAGGTAGATGGGGCTGAGAGAGTTCTCTCCATAAGTGCCCTTGAGAGAACAGCTCTGAAAGAATTTATGACTGACCGAAGGTCACACCAACAGCTGCATGTGGAGGAGTGGGGAATCAAACCCAGTTCTCCCAGATTAGAATCTGCACTCCTAAACACTACACCAAACTGGCAGTAGGCTGATGGGTGGAAGGAATCTGGTTCTTTCCCTTTCTCCTTCCACAAAATCTCCCTTTTCCTCTAGTGTAATAGCATCACTTTTTAAGGATCTCTTTTATCAACCTGCAATAGCTTTTCCGTATCTGTGCCAATCTGTTCATTTGACTGTGCCATAATCTCCTGCTGCGTGGAAGGGACTGTAAAGAAAGATAAATGTGGTAAGGATATAATTCAGAAGGATGTGTTAGGAGCCCCCGAATCACTGAAACTATTTCCTAAAGGAGGAATCTGAATACTCAAAAGCTCTGATCATGTCCATCAGATTGAAATGAGCTCTGATTCATGAAGGTTTATGCTGGAATAACTCTGGTTAGTCTCTGGTGCCACCGGACTCCTGTTTTATTTCACATCATAGATGTACCTCTGTACCTCTCCAGTGGCAGTATCTGTGAATTGCTGGCAAACCCAGATTGCTACCTTGATCCTACATCTATTTGCTTAGAAATGAATATCATGAATTTCAAACTGGCAAGTAGGTATGCTTTTGTTCACAACCTTAAGAGTGACTTTATTTTTAGATTGGATAGGTCTTTCATTTTGACAGCTGGATTTGATTTCCCAGGAAGGGAGATCAGAAAGACCCCCCCAAGGAATCTGCTTTTAACTAGACTTCAAACTGGTAAGAAAGGCACAGTTCAACTTCGGAGGATCGAGCCTCCAGAGAGGGATAGGTAGTTCTCCCAACCTTCCTTCTTTTGTACTTAGAGCATATGTACATGCACACACACACACAACTTTAAAGCCTGATTCCACTCTGATGAGTCTGAGCAGAGTTAAGTGCAGATCTACAGAAAAATCCTAAACCACTACCTCTGACTACGGCTTTTTCATTCTTTCAGTTTTACTACAAATTTCCATTAAATTCACCTTCAAGGCCATTTCCTAAAGTAATCAAAACTTTGGCTTCAGTATTGCAAGACTGCGCAGTTTCCATCCACATCAGTCACATTTAAATCAATGGGCTTAACAGTCTTTACTCTTCACTCATGAAAGATTTGCTTTTGGATCATGTGCATAAGTGCAAGCACAATCTGGTCATAGTTAAGCACTTTGAAATCCCATTTGTTTTGAGAGGAGAATTGAGCACATGCATAATTCACTTCAATGGAAATTGATGATACAAAAATGCTTAGTCTGACAGGATCATGCCCTACATTTGTGTCATAAACTAAACAATTGCCTGGCATGAAAAATCATTTCAAAGTTTATATGAGTGACTGAACAAAAGGGCATGTTTTAGAATGGTGGGATTGGTCAGGACCTCAATCATACTTTCCAGCAATTTGGTTCATATAACTACCACCACAATACCGTGAAATATTAGGGCACTATCCTGTCAAAGCTAAATCACTTTGAAGTTATACTGATCACAATTAAACATTGTGCGGCTATATTTCTTCTGGTAAACTCAGTGGATTTAAAATGCCCAGTGTGGGCTGGACCGTGCCAGTTCCACTACTGATTATGAACTGAGACCAGTTTGACTCACTCAGGAGAAAAAGTGCAGTTTGGACTGAAGTCCCTGCCTTCAATGGAAACTGTATTGCAGACAAAAAGAATTGGCCCTCTTGCCATTTTTCCCCTTCATCCTGCTGACTTCATCAACTAGTAGCTGACATCTAAAAAAATAAAAATCCAAGCGCAGCATAAAAACCCATAAGGAACAATATTTACTGTGGAAACAGAATTTTAAAGCAGCCATATGGCTGGGGGGATGGTAGTGCTGATAGTGCCTTTTCCCATTTCAATCTGTGTAAAACGTATCAAGCCTTAGTAAAAGAAATGGGGATCCCCCCCAAAGCAGTAATACCATGTGATGAAAATTAAGATACAGTGCATGTAAGGGATATGGGTAGAAGATGCAGCCAGGTACAACTGGGGAACTTGGCACTCCTGGGGTTGGAATGATTTTACTTGTCATCGCTAGGGTAAGCCAGCAGACTTTTTATCTTAATTCAATTTATCTTCATTACGGATCTGTAAGGTAGGTTACAAAGTTGCCCAATTTATTTTTAAAAAGCTAACAATATCTATTTTTGCATGTATTATCCTGTTGTGCTGCACTGTTTGATACTTCTATAATTCTGTTTTCTGCAGCACAACATCTCATATCTGATGCTTTTTTGCACTGTCTCTAATTTTTGTAATCCTAATCCTATCACATTGCTTATTAGAT